TGCATAGTTACCTGTCTGAGCATTAAGTAAAACTTATGTGCAGACTTTAAACTCATACTGTATCACTCAAAATCTGTCTGCCCTGTGCTCAATTCTGATAAACTCTGCTCTGCCACCTGTGCTCTTTTTTCGCTCCTTTTCTTTGTGCACTCCTCTACCTCTCTGTGCGCACTTGACTTTGTCTTTTACTTGCTTGACTCCATCTCTGCATGAGTTTGACCTGACCTCTGCTCATTCAGCTCCATCTGCGCACTCCCACCTTGATTAGGTCTGTGTAAAAGAACCACTGGCCTGTATTTGAAACGTTATTGATCATGCAATAGAAAGGAGTGAAGCAGAGGACAGGTGGCAGAGCAGAGTTTGTCAAGGTTCAGCGCATGGAAGGCAGGTTCTGTGTGATGGGGTGTGAGTTTAAATACTGCACATCAATCTCACTGCTTGGTCAGATTGGCCAATGCACGCTCAGGTTTTGGCACAAGAATTACACTATAGAGGGCAGCTGTGGCTTCAATGTACCTTACATCCATCAGTGTTTGTTTGTGTGACTAACTAAATGTAGTGTATAGCAAGTTGGGGTCCTTAGATTTGATTGAGTTTTGTACAAGTATAGGTAATTTACAGTTTTACCATTCTTATTATTGTTATTTCTAATATACAGTATAATTATATTATTGATATTAATTCCACTTTCTAGTACATGAATTAGTTTTTTGTATTATAATAAAAGCATAAAAAATATTTGGCCAAAAACATTTGATTTAGATTTAGCTACCAAAGAAGGTATTATAATTTTTTATATTAACAGTTATGGTGGTGCTGACATATTAACCTGTGCAAAAACACTTTTAAATAATGCTAAAGAAACTGGGTAGTCGAAGCTGGGTAGTCCGTACAGTACCTATGTTAGCAAAAGCTATTGCAAAAAAAAAAAAAAAAAAAAGCTTTTGTGTGATTTATATAACATATTGCTTTGGAAAAGTCTATTCATGATTGTGCGCTGACAGTTTGCGGGGTTGCCCTGGTAGAACTAATCTCAAACCACAGTTTAATTGATGTGTTAAAAGAATAAGGGAAAATTTAAAATATTTTATCAAGACTACTGAATTCATATGTTTCACAATTTTATTATTTACATTTTGGTTTATCCTGTCAATTTTTCAAGTTTTGCTAATTCACTCACGTTTTCTTCACCCAAAATATTTTAAGCTCTTAAAATATCGCAAAAATTAAGAGAACACAATAAAATATACCCAATTTCAACTAGATGCTGTTCTTGACATTTTTGAGTATTTTAGGTTTAACTATGTCTCTCAGAGGTTGAAAATAAGTCTCGTGACAGTTGAGCGGTTAAGGTACTGTATTTTTTTTTTTATGTTTTAAAGGTTGATGGTCAGCTGACTAGACTGCCCTTCAGCTCTGGGTCCAACAGAATCCGCATCTTCCAAAGCAGCACTCAGAGCATCATCCTTCGTACAGCCTTTGGTGTAACTGTGCAGACCGCCCTGCCTCACTTTGTGGGTATCACTGCACCAAGTGTCTACAATGGGTTATTAGGTGGAATTTGTGGGAATTACAACGATAACCAGCATGATGATTTCCGCAATTCCAATGGCACTCTGGTCAGTGATTCTCAGGTGTTTGGGAACAGTTGGCGAGCTGGATCCCTGGCAGATTACTGTGTGGAAAGCAGATATCATGACTCTGCAGC